TCTTTTCACTTTCGATCTCTGCATACTAGTGACATTCCGTCTTGTTTGGGGTGAAATGATTTTAAAAAAATATATATGGCAAGAACATCTGGATTCATGTCTTTAAAAGATGTATTGTTTCTGAAGTGAAAGCAACAGACGAGGATGAATTTTGAACTCGGCTCGACTATTTGACATTTCGTGGTATATTGCCCATAGGAGAAGAAGAAGAATAAAACATAAGGTAACCATTTTCCATCAGATATAGACACCTGATGATGGCTGTCAAATGGATTAGCTGAAAAGTCGTGCTCTCAAAAAAGAATAAATAAATAACATAATGAGATCAATATTCTGAGCAACTCTTCGAATGGAACCTAATTTCGATTACCTTCAACAAAGAAAGAGCGTATTGTATTTACGATTTATAGGAAGCCTTCATCACGCACGAACGAAAGAAAGAAAGCGTGAGAGTGCAAGGAGAGATTAAATGAAAACGTTCCTGTTGGATATGCATCTTCTGAAACAAAGAGAAAGCATCTAAGACACACAAATAAAGATATTCACAATGGAAGCGTTCCCAAGAGACAGATCTATTGAAATTTATCCATACAGATAAGCTGAACAAAAATCTAAGTCTTTCTGCATAAATACATATTCAGCTAATATAATAAAAGAAAGTGTTGCTGGACATTCGTTTCTTTGTGACTTGCAAAATAAAGATTTTTTTTAGCTGTTATTATATTACTCGATTGAGAGTTCACTTCAGTATGAATCAGTAGAGTATACTGGAGCGTAAGTAAGCGCAAGTGTGTACAAGGGTTACTCGAAAATTAATATTGGTTGAAAATTAATTTTAAATGTATTGGCATTCCCAAAGATTTTTACGCCCTGAAAAACGTGGTGGGTATCACCGCTTACTGAGTTAGACACTTCTACGCGGTCAGGAGAAAGAAAAAATAAGAAAAAGAGAGATGAAGAAGGATAAGAGAAAGAAATAGAGAAGAGAAAGAATAGCGAGACGGAGGAAGAGGAAAACATTAGAGGGGCGGGGGTAGAGAAGAAAGATTAGAGAGTCTAAGGGAGAAAGAATATCGAGGTACAGGAAGAGGAGAAAAATAGCGAGGCGGAGGAAGAGAAAGACGGGAGAAGGAGAAAGAAAGACGGGAGAAGGAGAAAGAAAGACGGGAGAAGGAGAAAGAAAGACGGGAGAAGGAGAAAGAAAGACGGGAGAAGGAGAAAGAAAGACGGGAGAAGGAGAAAGAAAGAAAGACGGGAGAAGGAGAAAGAAAGACGGGAGAAGGAGAAAGAAAGACGGGAGAAGGAGAAAGAAAGACGGGAGAAAGAGAAAGAATGGGGAGAAAGAATAGAGATGGGGGAGAAAGAATAGAGACGGGGAGAAGTAATAGAGAGGGGGAGAGAGAATAGAGAGGCGGAGAGAGAGAATAGAGAGGCGGAGAGAGAGAATAGAGAGGCGGAGAGAGAGAATAGAGAAGGGGGGAGAGAGAATAGAGAGGAAGGGGGGAGAGAATAGAGAGGCGGAGGGGGGAGAGAATAGAGAGGAGAGAAGAGAGAGAATAGAGAGGCTGAGAAGGGGGGGGGAGAAATAGAGAGGCTGAGAAGGGGGGGAGAGAGAATAGAGAGGCTGAGAAGGGGGGGAGAGAGAATAGAGAGGCTGAGAAGGGGGGGGAGAGAGAATAGAGGCCGAGAAGGGGGGAGAGAGAATAGAGAGGCCGAGAAGGGGGGGGAGAGAATAGAGAGGCCGAGAAGGGGGAGAGAGAATAGAGAGGCCGAGAAGGGGGGAGAGAGAATAGAGAGGGGAGAGAAGGAGAGAGGGGAGAGAGAAGGAATAGAGAGGCCGAGAAGGGGGGAAGGAATAGAGAGGCCGAGAAGGGGAGAGGAATAGAGAGGCCGAGAGGGGAGAAGGAATAGAGGGCCGAGAAGGGGAGAAGGAATAGAGAGGCCGAGAAGGGGGAGAAGGAATAGAGAGGCTGAGAAGGGGGAGAAGGAATAGAGAGGCTGAGAAGGGGGAGAAGGAATAGAGAGGCGGAGGAGACCGAAAGAGGGTAGTTGAAGAAAACGAAAAGTGAGGCGAAAGTGGAAAAAGAAAAATGGCGATGAGAGTAAGGTGGCATATTATTCGACAGTTATTTATAACTGGTACAAGATAACATGGGAGGTAAGTAGTCGCTCGCATTCACAGAGCCGCGCTGTTCCGTTGGGCACTTCTGGCTGTATGTTGTGCACGTTCCTCTAGCGGCTACATGCTGCGGGCCAATGTTGCTTGCCTAACTTGTCGATGGCAACGTTGGGTCAGTCTATCTTCAGTAACGACGACATGTGATGAGAACAATAATCAGATATAACAAAACTAAAATATCTGGCAAATCTATTAGACTACTTGCATACTCATAATCCTTTTAAAACATAATTACCTCTCTGAACAGACTTAGAAAACAATGTTTTTGGAAGAAAACTTAACAGAAATTCATCGAATATTTATGCAAATTTTCTACTTGTATAATAAAGATATAGGTAAAAAGTGATAATGTCAATCCTAGAGAAAATGGAGAAACAGTAGCTTAATAGCTAAACTGGCAATTATGTTCTCAATTTAATCGAAAATCCACGAAGAATGCCATTAGTCCTGGCCTGGTATCTCGGTTTACATTCCTACCGCCGTAGTCGATCTTCTCTGTGCCTTTTTTACAAATACCTCCACGGTAATTGTTTTAATCAACTCTCTTCTGTGATACTTAGACTATGAATTAATGAGCAGTAAGAGATTGGGAGTCATCATGGCCGAGAGTTTGAGTGCGCTGTCCTTGTTCAAATTGTTGATCACGCTAGATAACACGCTCTTTCCCAGAAGCTGTAACTAAGGTCCACTCAGCATAGTTGCAGTATAAACCATATCTGTGGGTGTTGAATAAACACAAATTCGTCTGAGCAAGCGTCTGCAATAGGGACTGACTAGCCACCCTAGTAGACGGGTATCCTCGAATACGAGTGGCCAGCTATACTAGATTGGAAGCAAAATCTCATTTTACCTTTGAAATGGCTAGATGTAACCGTTATTTTTTTTTCTCGCACCTCTGTTTTTCTGCTATTCGTTCACACTCTATGATACTCTGCATGTTAATAGCTTTGTTGTTTTGCTTCGGATGAAATGATTAAAAAAAAAAAATAACCTAGTCTGGACCCCTCAGATTTTCGTCTACTGGGGCCCATGAAAAAGGGACTTAGATGATACATATCTAACGATGATAGGGTGAAAGTGGCAACATATAAATGAATAATAAATCAGCCAAGAAGCATCGATATAGCAGGTATACATACCCTCATTCAAAAATGCAATGATTTCCGGTTCCATGTCACTGCAGGACGTCAGTGATAATGTCTCTTCATAGCATCCTGCAATATTTGTCTATTTGCCATACTCCCGTGTCCACGTTCTGCTATTCATTTCCATAAACATTTAGGTAAGGTACTCGTGTTCTATGAGTGTTAAATTCTTCAAACCTTCCTTCCTCATGATATGTCGCAGAATTCTAAACTCCCTCTCTTCTTGCTAGAAGACACTTTCGTTATTCGAATGATTCTTCGGATTTCGTTGTCATTTACGACACTACAGAGATGTATTCTACCTTGTAATATTTACTTGAATAATATGCAAATAAAAATACTTATGAAATAAAAATTAATGTTAGCAAATCATAGTAAAGATATGGCTAATTTAATCATGGAGGCACAGTAGAGTAATGGATTGAGAAATCGAGAAGTTCGAATTCTAGTCGAGTTCATTACATTTACTTACGTGCTAATAACCTTGAGAAAAGTATGAATCCCACTTTTCTTACCCCAGCTATGGGTAAATAGTAGAATAGACTGCGTTCTATAAGCTTGGCTGACAACCGGTGTAGGGGAATGAAGACTTTGAATTAAAATCTGCATGTAGCCCTGGCGAAAGACTTACAATGCATCTAAGGAAAGGATCATTCGAACTGACTCGATGGCCCCGACATCTTTAGTTTAATCAAAATGTTATCGTCCCTTTAATAAAAAAAAAAATTCACAACGAAAACATTTTAAATTGAAAAATAAATATCTTGTTCGAAGGAAAGTTCTCGTGATTTGTAAGATTACAAATTTATTTACAAACCGCGAAAACATTCCTCTCAGCCAAACAGAATAAAATTTGCATAGATTACAAAAATCTTACAAAGCACGGTTGATCCCCATAGTCCTAAAAAAAAAAAAACGTGGGAGCGAGTACCTAGGGAGCTGAACTATTTCTGTCAGCATGAGTCACTTCATTTTAACTGCAATCTTATCTCAAACTTACTGTCGTGGATGGGTGAGGTGAATAAACTGGTTTATTCTCAAACAAGAATCGCCTTAATTTCGCGTACGAACAAATATAAAATAATATTTGTATATAGAGGACGATGACAAAGATGAAAGCTCCATCGAAAAAAAAAAAGAATAAAGAGGAGAAAGTCAAAATGCGATTTGATAGGTTGAAATGAGAGTAAAACTCTCTCGTGAATATATTGACACATCGTCGTGAAGGCAGCCTGATCAACGAAGCCGCCAGAAAAATTCCAACTTGGGATTTGCCGATATTATAAGATCGAATTTTTGATAAAATTTACAACTACTGCTGCTAAAAATGCACTTTAAAATGGTAACTATTCACTTTTAGCGAGGAAATAGCAGTAATAGTAACATTTCTGGCAGTGATTATATAAATGGTGTTGATTAGAGAAATGTTAATGATAGTGATGTTAATTAGGGGAATGATAATTTTAGAAACGAGTGAGAGTCAGAATGAACAAAATGTATGAAAGGAAAATAAGTGGAAAAATGCGGTAAAGATGAATAAGATTAAAAGGTAAGGAAAAGATGGAGTGAAAGATATTTGGAGAAAAAAAAAAACAAGATGAGAAAGAAACTTGAAGATCAATGTAAGAAATTTGGGATAGTATTAAAATTATTTTTTACAAAGAAGAAAGGAAACATTAGAAAAATAGATTGATAGCACTTCCGAAAGGAGGTACGAGGAATGAAAAGAAGATTAGCATTAGAATAAAAAGAAGAGAGAAGGAGAAATGAGTGGAGAGAGAAAGAGGAAACGATAAAGAACGAGAGGCGGAGGAAAGCGGGGGGTTACGAAAAGGCAAGAGAGACACAGGAAGAAGGGAGCAAATAGAAAAGAGAGGCAGAGAAAGGGGAGGAGGCAGAGAATGGATGGGAGGAAGAGAAAGGAGAAAAACAAAAAAGAAATTGAGGCGGGGGAAGGAAAAGGTAACAAAAAAGAAAGCGACGCCAACAAATGAAAAGGAAAACTGAAAGACAGTCAAAGAAAGATGGAGAGAACGAAAAGGAAAAAAAAAAAGATTCCAGAAATGAGAAAACGAAAAGAAAAGAGAAACCGGAGAAACGAGAATTACGAAAACTACCGAGTTGTGACGAAAGGAAAGAGAGATAGAGAAAGCAGAACTTCAAAAAGGGAAGACAGGAAGAGAAAGAACAGATACAAAAAAGAAAAAAAAGAGAGGAAGAAAAAGGAGAGCAGACACGAAAAAGAAAGAGAGGAAAAGAAAGAGAGGAAAAGAAAGAGAGGAAAAGAAAGAGAGGAAAAGAAAGAGAGGAAAAGAAAGAGAGGAAAAGAAAGAGAGGAAAAGAAAGGAGAACAGACACAAAACACAAAGAGCGAAAAAGAAAGGAGAAGAGAATGAAAAAGAAAGAGGGTAAGAAAGAAGTCTATAACTGGATATGCGTATCGTATTCAAAAGAAGAAACGGAAGCATAGCAAAGTGACAGACAACGAAAGAGAGACGTAGAGAGATTTACAGAAATAAAAGGAAGCACAAATCGAAGATGAAGAAGAATGGCTGCTGTTTTTGTTATGTTTTATCAACATATTTTCAGGTTATTTAACGCCAAAAAATATTTTAGATTTCAAAAATTCTCGGGCGATACAAATGATTTACTGATACAAGGTCTAATAACGCATAGCTACGGGAAGAAGACGTGGATTCATATCATTCCAAAAAATATAAAGCTTTATAGAAATCCGACTGAAATTAGAAATCGGCTCTCCAATTTCCAATACTGAGTCGTTATCCATTACACAAATCGCACTTCTAAGCTTAGAGTACCAGATATTCTCAAACCGACACCCATCTCGTTACTGACCAGACTACGATGCTTAACCTTCAGTGATTGAGAACTGCTCTTTCAATATTATATAACCGTAAGCCACGGAGAGCAGGAAATGAAAGTGTAGAATGAAAAGCTAGGAGAAGGAAGAAAGTAAGATGAAAAAAAATAACTTACAAGCTGAGAATGAAGAATAAATGTCACATAGGCAAAGGAAGAATTTTTTGAAAGAAAAGGACAACATATAGAGGAGAAAGAATCGAAAATAAAAGAATAGGTGGGAGAAGAAAAAAAGGAAAAATTAAAAAAAAAAAGCGGTCAAAAGAGTAGAAAAAGAAAAGGAAAACAGGCGATGAAAGAAAGAAAAGAAAATAGAAAGAGGTGGTTGCGGAAGAGAAAGAAAAGCTAAGAAGGAAAGGAAAATTTTGGAGAAGAGAAATAAAAAGAAGATAACCAGATATAAACAAAGGAACGTCGGGAGATGTTATCCTTTGACTCGAGGCTTCGCGATTGTTTGGAAAACAATAGAATTCAATCCAATTTTATGTCTATCCATTTTTGAAGTTGCTATGAGCGTGATCGCATTTCAATCCATAGCGAATACATTTGAAAATGAAGACCTTTATCACGGGTAAAAGTTAGATCAAAACGTTTATCATATCTTTTCCATCAGCTTCTCAGTGTGCTTTGTGCAAGCATCTGGGATTTCTTTAGTCGTCATCTTTCATTTGTACGGCTATTTTTCTAAACAAAGGAAAATGGCTACTCTCGACAAAGAGAAATGGCTACTCTCATTATTAACCACTGAATATGTCAGAAAAATCCGGGGTCATAATATATATTTTTATTAGTCATAAAGCCAATAATATTCCCCTCTCTCCGTCACACACAAAGCTGGGATGAAGTTTATCTAATGCCACTAACAAAAACGATTTGATTAATTTCTATTTCGAGCAAAATCAACAGATAATGAAAAAGAGTCAGGATTAGTAATAGGATAGCCATAAGGATGCTAAGAATATCATGTGAGTAACGATGAGATCTTAGAGAGGATGCAAACAAGGATGCATTTGAAGTTTCTGGGACACGTAATGAGGAAGGAGGGACCTGGAGAATCTGGTACTCACGGGTCGAATAGAAGGAAAGTGAGACAAGGGAAAACAACGTATGACATACCTAGCGGGCTTAATAAGTGGATGACAGAACGTGGTCTGAGGGAGGTGGCAGAGGGATGGAACTTGTTGAGAGCTGCAATGGTTAGTGAGAAGTGGAGAGCCATGATCGCCTACGTCGTGAAAGAAAACGGCACATAAAAAAAAGAAAGAAATTCAGAATATCTAAGAGGAGAAATATACAGTGTAACCCGGATATAAGAGATTCGGATATAAGAGAAACCCGGATATAAGAGAGATTTTCTCTGGTCCCAAATTAGAGCCTGTGTTAATGTATATAAAATAGACCAAACCCGGATATAAGAGACTTCTTCTCCGGTCCCGACAACTCTCTTATATCCGGGTTACACTGTATTGAGAAAACATCTAGACATCTTTACTACATACATCATTTCACCATCAACGTTAGGAAACGAGTTCACACAATCCACCAATCCGAACAACTAGACTCGACGAAAGTACCATCATCAAACATAGATCTGTTAGCGATCAATGAACTCAGAGTGACGACACATTTAGCTAGTAAGAACATTTGTTTATAAGTCGTGAGAGTACATTTGTGGGACCAATACCCAAGTAATCAAAAAAGCTAATTTTCTTGTCTCATGACTGGACACGAACCATCGATTTCGCGCCGGATCTTTTGTTTCCACCTTGTGACAGTGCCATGCCCGAGCGAACACGTACGGAGAAGACAAATGCCTCGATAAAGACACCTGATCGGAATGACCACTCAACGAAGATACTTGATAAAGAAATAGCCATCAATATGAATAATACAAATGATGTAACCTAGTAAGAGTTACTGAATGAGGAATAACCAAAATGAAGGTTGAAAATGAAATGGTAATCTTTATAACATCACCAAAATACAATACTCGCCAGCGGCGTGAAGTAGGTAAACCACTGCCAGTTGTGCACTACTTAGACAGCATATTCCCCAATTAGTCTTCATAGATATATAACAATAATAATAGGCTGAAATTTAAAGAAGTCTGTCCCTGAAACGAAAGGATACCTGTCGGCCATTGCTGAACGATAAATATGGCGGCTTCTCTTTTCTTGCACACATACTTCTGGCACAAAAATAAAGGCAGTGTGTGTGTATATATGTCTATATCTTATATATAGGTACAGTGTATATGTGTGTGTGTTTGTGCGTGTATGTCCCAGCAAATCATCTGCTCCTACTGGTCCGATTTCAATGATTCATGGGTCATTCAAAATCCCTACAAAGGTTAGGCGCAGGGAACGATTTTCGTTGAGCTTAGATTCATGTTTGCCAGATTATGCGAGGTTAAAATATATATTAATATATTATACTAGCTATTATCATTGTTTTCATAGTTCAAGGGGTGTAACTCTTATTTTCTTTTGTATCCAAAATTGCAGTGCATGCTTTATTATAAACTAGCTTAAAAGCTGCCCTATGGGGGGAATTTAAGCTAGATCCTGTGGAGGACTCTTACTTTGCTTAGTTTCTGGAAGGCATATTACAGAGTCTTTTTTAATTATTCAAAGAAACGTTTTAATACTACTTGCCTTTTAAGGGTAAGCTATATTTACATATGTGTGGATATCTATATAATAAATGCGAATGTAAGTGTGTCACACTTTTTCAACTTTGCTTCTAGAGGCCGTAGCGCAACATATACCATTTTGGAATCAGGCCGACTCTGTGAGTAAAGTAAAAAATATTCCATGCCTGATTCGGACAAGCAATCTTGAAATTTTGAATTCCCATTTTTTCATTACTGCGATTGTTTTCATGGTTTTTTGGGGGACAAATTTTTTTCAATGATTACATTTTTTATAACTTTGGGAATAATCGAAATTAAATGCGAAATCCAGCAATGAAATAAAAATAATTGTTTGTATGGAATTAAGGACCTATGTATACCAAATTGAGGCACGGTGGAGTAATGGATAGCGGCTTGGATTGAGGAATCGGAGAGCCGAGTTCGAATTCCAGTCGAGTCCATTACATTCACTTATGTGCTAACACCCTTGGGAAAGGTGTGAATCCTATTTCTTCTCCCTTCAGCTATTGGTAAATAGCAGGACAGACTGGGTTCTATAGCCTTGGATGGCAACTGGTCTAGGAGAAGGAAAACTCTGAATTCAAACCTGCTCTTAGAGGAGGGTGAATGGAGTCTCTCTGAGCCTTGGTTGGCAATCAATTTAGTGTTGGTGTCACGATAAAAACACCCTTGATAGCCCTAGCGAAGCATCAAGAATTCAGCTGTTTGACAAGATTATGAACTACACCAATCAAAGTATTGGTGAGTTCAATCTCGGCTGAGGCCGCAAGATGATGATGATACCAAATTGTCGTTATATTAAGTGGTGGCAGAAGAATTATTGCTGAACTTTTAAAAAAATACTTAAATGATGCGATTAATTTTGAGTTCTTCTAGCTAGATTAAATACCATCCAATAGGATAGCTTTTAAGATATCATATATTAGACATACCGATGAGCGATTACGTTTCTCTAATATAGAGAATGTGTAAATAAAACCTCTTCCATATCTAAGTAGATTACGTATGTACAGAAATTTTTACTCATTAACTTCGAGCAAAACTCGAAAAAGTTATACACGATTATTCTAAGTTTTGATTATTTATCTTGAAAATTGGCATCAGGAATTTTGCCCATAACTACAGACCACGAAAATCGGTGGGAAGTACAATTTTCTTTTAATCAACCAAGCAACATATTTATGTATGCGATAGAACCAAGTCTATCAGAATAAATAAACTTCTGGTTTAGATCATGTTTTAATGTATATGTCGGGCTCTTCAAACTTGAGGAAATGTTAGCCGAAAATCTTTAACCAATATCTAATATTTTCCTCTCATTTTCTGCAGTATCCTGTCTCCGACAAAATGAATTCAATGAATTTGTATTTTTTTTTCAATATGAGACTGATCAGCTTTCCGTTTTGATGCTATTTACTTCATTACGGAATTGGGTTTTAATTAGATCTTGTTCCATAATACACTTGTAGAGCCTGTTATTTTTGCTTTATAAATCTGCCTGACAACGCCTTTCATATATCCACTACACAACCTTCAGATTCAATGTTTGAATATAAACAAATTTTATGACAACTTTCTATGGTTAAACATCCATTTTAATCCTTTGGCATTAATGAATTAATTCATCTATTTGCACCAAGACAAGGATTCGAACAGTAGGTTATTACAAATTTTTCTGTGAGAGGAACTATAATATATTCTTTCTATTCTTTAATGTACTTCTATTGTTAATGTGTTTCACTATTTAAGCAAGTATTAAAGTGATTTGATTCATTAATCTATTTGTATAATAACGTCTTCCTGTAATATAAAATACTACGTAAACAGGATTTATATATTTAAATGTGTCTTTTCACATGGTTTTTATATGATAACTAGCTGAAGTGCCCGGCGTTGCCCGGGTGTACATGGCTGCAATTTTACACCCGCAACACCCGTCTAGAAATGTCTACCTGGGTACTCGCTTGCATGCATCATCCGTTGGGAGAGAAGTCTATTCCCCACTTCATTTTTCTTACGCTGTGTACTTCGCCAGTGTTTGAGTGTTCTTAATAAAGGAATTCCATCGAGAAAACCATCTTGTATGTATATTGCTCGGGGTTAAATTGTTTCAATGTTTTAGATAAGTAAATGTCCTATGGCCGTAATAACTTTCAAATCATATGATTATTAGTTTTGTTAATAATGCCAAACACAAACGGAGATGAGGCTTTTAGTGTAAAGCTGGGGTTAATAAGAGGTTCTTTGAAAATTATCCCCTTTTAACGCGTCAATAATCCTTCTCAAACAATCTATGCATCAAAAGGTTGTTCGAATGCTATTTTAGGATGGAATCATATGACGAAACTATTGGCGAAATGGTAAAAGCCGATACTGAACTTAGTTTGTCACAGATTTCGTCCACGTACCTGAAATAATCTAAACCAATCATTCATGCAAGACAATTTGTGTGTCATATGTAATTTACATGGGGAATTTGGAAAGCATCGAATGATTTTTTGTGCCATTTAATTCATTAAAACTTTTATATAGTAGATTTGTAATTCTGTGCCGAAGTCATTTGGGGAGGGGAGCTTTCTTATAACTGTTGGTCAGGCAAAAGCGGTGATGCCGTAAATTGTTTGATTACAAATAGGTTTGATTTCCTTGAGAACAGAATAATAGAAATGTTGATGAGAACAGTCATAAATTCATCAACTCAAGACAAGTATATCAGCTAACATGATGTATACTATAAAATACACGTCTGCTTATTTACACATTTTACTTAGAGATTTTGAGCACTAAAAAGTTAGTTGAAAAATCCACTAAGTATTTCGTTTTTTGAACTCACATCAAATATGTGACCATTTCTGGGAAAGGTAATCTGTAATGCCAATCGGAAGACATGTGAAACTAAGAATTCTGGTGGAAAATAATTTTGAACTATTATATTTTTCAACAGAAACGATATATTATCTGCAAATATTATCTGCCTTTCCTCAAATAAAGTCTGCAGTACGAGGAAGCAGCTATACTCTACAAGCTGTTAATGAATAAAAGAAATATTCAAGAGAATTCTTAATTTGGGGGGGGAAAAAACTTTCTATCCTGACCTGATGATTTAGTATTGCCAATGCCACCACCACTGCCATAAACGGGGAAACGCAATATTTACGTAGGAAGATTGTGTCTAACAAAATAAAACTATTAACAATTGTCTTGCTGGAAATGAGCTGTGATGTATTATTCCCTTGGCTTCGGTTTTATCGATATTCAATGAGAACGTGAACGTATTTTCGTTTTTAATGCAGTAACATTATTTTCCGACCCTCAAACATTTTGATGACCATGAGTAAATTTTCGTGGAAAGGATCTATGATAAATAAATATCGCAATATGCTAATGTATAACAATATTAGTCCCTAGGTCTCTGGCTTCGACTGAGGTAGTTTGAAATTAAGTCAAGTCCCAGACGGCCGTCTCTTAGGGAGTACCTCTCCTTTGAAAGGGGCTGGGTTTATTTGCCAGTATCTGAGGTATCCCCCCAAATGACTGAGCAATTATTCTATGGTATTGCCGTTAAATCCACTTTAACTGGCCTTGTGTCATATTTGGTAGCGACGTGGGAGCACTGAAAAAATACACATTGTTAGTCACAACTTCTTCCTGTATTTCCGACAAGTGGGCTTGTTCTCCTTTTTCAACATTTCAGCTCTGTTACACGAATGGTTCAGTGTCCCGAAATTTCTAAGAAGGTAATGTTTATTTTTAGATAGATAAAACCTATTAAAATCAAACACAAATGCCAGTGTGCCGGCAAATAAAATAACATTTTGTTCTTTTTGAGTCATGTTTCTTTCATTTTGTACAACTGTGCGTCATATTTATTGTATTGGAATAACTTTAGTTGCTGCTTCTTACAAGATCGTGTCATCCAAAGCAATAATTTCTGTTCACATTTCTGATTGTCGACATTTATATCATGTACCGTCAACAGATATTAGTGCAAAATGACAATATAAAAAGCCCGGGTAAGATAAAGTATTCGTTAATTTCAGCATTTCATAAAAACCGATTTGTGAAAATTTTTCTCGCAAGTTTTTGATCTGATAAATTTTCAGATCTCATAATGCTTCTTTCAAGTTGTCTGCCCATAACCGAATTTTAAATATGACGTTGAAACTCAACAGCATTTTGTACAAAAAGCCGATTAAAAAGTCAGTGATGGCATATAGAAAAAATTTTGAAAAAATATAAAAATAAACTTTCTTATTTTTTCTTACTGGACAACAAGTGCGTCTGTATAGAATATTTGACTCATGATATGCCACATGTGCTCTTTAATTTTCTTTTACTTTGCAGAAAGGTTTAATATATAAAAACAAGATAAGTATACCTCGGATTGTCAGAAGAAAAGGACAGAAATGATGAGACCAAGTCAGGAACACTTACCTGAAATTAGAAAGAAAATTTCATTTAGAAACAAGAATATATCTATCATTTGGGAAGGTCATTTAATAGAGACAAATGAAAAAAAAAATAGAATTTGTTTTAAATCCTCTTTTCATAGAGTTATAAATATTTAATCACGAAATATATATATATATATATATATATATATATATATATATATAAAAATATTTGAAACACCGACCATTATGACGTACCACGATTTCTAAAATATTTTCTCTCTCATATATATATATATATATATATATATATATATATATATATATATATATATGTGTGTGTGTGTGTGTATGTATGTATGTCGAAAATAACGTTTTTAAGGCAAGTAATCTTTCAGATTACAATGTTCGATATTAACAGAGAGGGTATTATTAATAGCAATTAAAGCAAGTTAAATTTGTTCATTTATCCAATAACTATCACTATTTAGATTTTCACAGTATAATATCCGCTGTTCAGGACACTTGATAGTAAAATTTTACAATTAAATCTACATTTAAAGCATTTCTTAATTTGGGAAAAATATAAGTAAGTGATAAAATACATATATATTAATAATAACTATACATGCACGATGCAATCTTCAGGTGATAATCGTTTAATCAGAACCTGGCGATTGCTCTACCCGTGGAAAAAATGTCTATTTATTATTAATATAAATTATAGTTTTTTTTTATCATTATATATCGTACAATATATTTTATTAGCACCAGAGCGATATATATATATATATGAGTTAACATAAAAACCAACACTGCAAGGTGACTGTCAGTCTCATGGTTTTAGCGATCATGAGAATACGAACTAGCAGAGAAAAAAAAAAGATATCGTCGGAGTGGGTTGATTTTAAATCCAAAAGACACGAACGACTTTTATATATAAAACAAAATTTCCCGTTGCTGGTCGTCGGATGAGATAATTTTATTTATAGACTTTGTCCTAAAAAATTCCAACGTCTTTTCTTTACACGTAGTTTTTCCTTTTATTGTGACCTGAAGAAGCCAAGACAAAATGACGCTAGCGAAACGCGTCGTTTATAAACTTTTCCAATGAGTTTCATCTACACTTTAGTTTCGGATACTATTATACATTCTACACACACACACATATATATATATATATATATATATATATATATATATAAATGCTATATATCTTTATCTTTCCCAACATTGTTATACTTTATGACCAGTTTGTTAACACGTTATTTACAGAGGCCTCTTTGAAAAAAAATATAGCAACTTGTTCAAGTAAGTTTTTTTTTTTTAAATTTTAAATTCCCTTCAACACAGAAATACATTAATTAAAATTTTTAAATTTTACAGCATTACTCACACTTGTCAAAAATATTAATTCTAAACAGCGACTAGAATCGTAAAAAAAATCATTTATAAAAAATGTGTGTCGGTAACAAATTTAGTTACGATGCACAGAAAATCATTGAATTAGCAGAGATTGTTGCATTTATATCTATGATTGTTTGTGGAGACAGACAGTTTTGTTTTTGTACAATGATAAAACAATTTGTCCCATCTGCCTTGCCAACCTATGGACAGAGATCTTGACTGTCGGTCGCATTCCTCACGTCATGTCACCCAGTGTTGAGCAAAGAAGAACAATTTGAAAATTTCCAGAACCAAAACAAAACAAGAAATATATATATATATATATATATATATATATATATATATATATATATAAGATTGAAAAAGCAAAAAACAATCGGGTTTCCTATTCTGTTCACACTTTACATTTTTAAGTTGTCAATTCTGTCTGACAAGATTCGGAAATGTTCAACGTTTGAATATGACTGTCTCACGCGAATCACGTGAAATATTTTTCAAAGGCGAGGAACATTTAATGGGGCGTCGTAAATATAAAGGAGCTGGGCTGGGATAATAAATATCACGGAAGAGAAAAGATACTAACGGGTTATGCCGAATTTACATTGGTCAGAGCGTGTCGTTTTATTTTAATTTGAGAGTTGGTGGGTAGACCTAACAGGAGAGACATATGGAACAAAAGATATATAGAAAATAGAACATAAAGAAACAGACAAGGAGGGTGTTTGCAAAAGAAAATAAATCTATAAATACAGAGAGAGAATGCCAGGGACACAGAATGTGAGAAAAATGTAAGAGAAACAAAGACAGGTCAATAGAGAAAGTGAAACGAACCAGAGAGAGAGAGAGAAAAGGGAAACGAACCAGAGAGAGAGAGAGAGAGAGAGAAAACCAAAGAAATTAGAGAGAGAGAGAGAAAAGGAAACGAACCAGAGAGAGAGAGAGAGAAAAAAGGAAACGAACCAGATAGAGAGAGAGAGAGAGAAGAGAGAGAAGAAACGAACCAGATAGAGAGAGAGAAAGAGAGAAAAAGGAAACGAACCAGAGAGAGAGAGAGAGAGAGAGAAAAGGGAAACGAACCAGAGAGAGAGAGAGAGAGAGAAAAGGGAAACGAACCAGAGAGAGAGAGAGAGAGAAAAGGGAAACGAACCAGAGAGAGAGAGAGAGAGAAAAGGGAAACGAACCAGAGAGAGAGAGAGAGAGAGAGAAAAGGGAAACCAGAGAGAGAGAGAGAGAGAGAGAGAGAAAAGGGAAACGAACCAGAGAGAGAGAGAGAGAGAGAGAAAAAGGAAAAAACAACCAGAGAGAGAGAGAAAGGGAAAAAAGGGAACGAACCAGAGAGAGAGAGAGAGAGAGAGAAGGGAAAAACGAACCAGAGAGAGAGAGAGAGAGAGAAAGGGAAACGAACCAGAGAGAGAGAGAGAGAGAGAGAAAAAAGGAAAAATGAACCAGAGAGAGAGAGAGAGAGAGAGAGAAAAGGGAAAACCAGAGAGAGAGAGAGAGAGAGAAAAGGGAAACGAACCAGAGAGAGAGAGAAAAGGGAAACGAAAACCAGAGAGAGAGAGAAAAGGAAAGAACCAGAGAGAGAGAGAAAAGGGAGAAAGAGAGAGACAGAGAGAGAGAGAAAAGGGAAACGAACCAGAGAGAGAGAGAGAAAAGGGAAACGAACCACAGAGAGAGAGAGAAAAGGGAAACGAACCACAGAGAGAGAGAGAAAAGGGAAACGAACCACAGAGAGAGAGAGAAAAGGGAAACCAGAGAGAGAGAGAAAAGGAAACGAGAGAGAGAGAGAGAAACGAGAGAGAGAGAGAAGGAAAATGAAAAGAGAGAGAGAGAGAGAGAAGGAAAATGAGAGAGAGAGAGGAAAGAGAGAGAGAAAGGAAAAATGAGAGAGAGAAAAGGAAAAGAGAGAGAGAGAAGGAAAATGAGAGAGAGAGAAGGAAAAAACGAGAGAGAGAGAGAAGGAAAAATGAGAGAGAGAGAAAATGAACGAGAGAGAGAGAGAGAGAAAAAATGAACGAGAGAGAGAGAGAAGGAAAACGAACGAGAGAGAGAGAGAGAAGGAAAACGAGAGAGAGAGAGAGAAGAGAAAAACGAACGAGAGAGAGAGAGAGAAGGAAAAAACGAGAGAGAGAGAGAGAAGGAAAACGAGAGAGAGAGAGAAGGAAAACGAGAGAGAGAGAGAGGAAAACGAGAGAGAGAGAGAGAGAGAGGAAAAAAATGAATGAGAGAGAGAGAGAGAGAGAGAGAAATGAACGAGAGAGAGAGAGAGAGAGAAGGAAAACGAATGAGAGAGAGAGAGAGAGAGAGAGAAGGAAAAGGAACGAGAGAGAGAGAGAGAAGGAAAACGAACGAGAGAGCGAGAACGAAAAAGAAAGGGACAAAGAAAGAAGAGAAGAGAAAAGATGGACAAAGAAAGGAAAACGAAAGAGAGAGAAGGGAAAAAGAAAGAACAACAGAGAGAGAGGGACAAAGAAAGGAAAACAACAGAGAGAGAGGGACAAAGAAAGGAACAACAGAGAGAGAGAAGACAAAGAAAGAGAACAACAGAGAGAGGGACAAAGAAAGCGAACAACAGAGAGAGAGGGACAAAGAAAGCGAACAACAGAGAGAGAGGGACAAAGAAAGCGAACAACAGAGAGAGAGGGACAAAGAAAGCGAACAACAGAGAGAGGGGACAAAGAGAGCGAATAAGAGAGAACAACAGAAGAGAGAGGAGACAAAAGAGAGCGAATAAGAGAGAGAGACAAAGAAAGCGAACAAGAGAGACAAAGAAAGGAACAAAGAGAGAGAGGGACAAAGAAAGGAACAAGAGAGAGAGGGACAAAGAAAGCGAACAAGAGAGAGGGACAAAGAAAGCGAACAAGAGAGAGAGGGACAAAGAAAGCGAACAAGAGAGAGAGGGACAAAGAAAGCGAATAAGAGAGAGAGAGGGACAAAGAAAGCGAATAAGAGAGAGAGAGGGACAAAGAAAGCGAATAAGAGAGAGAGAGGGACAAAGAAAGCGAATAAGAGAGAGAGGGACAAAGAAAGCGAACAACAGAGAGAGGGACAAAGAAAGCGAACAAGAGAAAAGAAGTGTGATAAAAATAGATATAGATAGATAATGTGAGAAAAAAAATAATATAAAAGGCAAGAAAGACAGATGGGAAACCTGAATGTGTGTAGAGAATGACTGAGATAGCCTTTTAAGTTCATGAAAGCTAAACTGAAATATGCAAGTAAATATTGTTAAGAGAAATATTTTTTTTAGAGAAAATTCTGATTGCGTAGGCGTACCAAAATAGAATGAAATTCAGCAAATGTCATTCCTTTCAGCTAGCGCTCCTTTCTTCCGAAGCGAAACTGTGTACAACCATTCCCAACTTCAACCTCTATACTACTGATCACAACTTCCAAAATTGGCCAACAATTTGCCACACCCTGAGGTTTAGTATGTCCCAGATCAGTCAATCCCTTTCTTTAAAAAGCCACCATTCCTTAAACAGCTCACAAATATCCCCAATATTTGCGTTCAAGGAATACATGTCGTGTTCCTTTGTTGTCGCAATTACAGGAATCGCTTTGGGCTATTTTTTCCGTCCATCTAAAATAAATTATATCTAAGTTTATGCCTTTAACAAAACCTTTCATGTCCTTTATTAAGGATTGCTTCGTTTGGTAGAAGGTCACAACTATAAAGCACCCAAATCATTGATAATTTTCAAACAGATTAATTCGCTAAAAGTTAATCCACAATCAGTAAACATTTTAAAACTCTTATGCTGCAACAAATCAAAATTAAAAAAAAATTCTCTACGTAACGTTTCCTTTCGAGGGGTTGGCGACTAAAGTTCTCCAGTTTATTTTTTGTTTTCTTTAAGACCACATGCACCGTGCAGGATCTTTTTCTGCATATGTACAAATTTGTAGGACATTCTCATTTTTCTCTTTTCTTCTTTTGTATTCTATGTGTTTTGCAAATATTATACTAGCAGGGTTTAATTAAGGACCAGTCAAGAAAATGGTTGTCAAACGGATGTTGTTTTTTTTTTTACACTTTTGGCACCGCTGTTAACATATACAAACCGACTTCCTGTAAATTCAACCCATGAATGTTTTTGTATTAATTTTTACCCCTCCAAAAAAAAAAAAAAAAATTATTTGTGTATAGTGCAGACGATCAGTGAAAATACATAATTTTTTAACCTAATTTTTGCGTAAAAAAAACTAATAAAATTCGCACTATACAAAATGTTTTATCGGTAATTTTATGTTAAAAGTCTATTTTGTATAATCTTAATAAAACCATAGTGAAACCATCTTTATAATATAATAAAAAAAAAATAAAGATTTCATTACAGTTCGCATATATCAACACAAGAGATACACTCGTTGAACTCAACAAATAAAACAAGCAAATACTTTGGTTTTAAAAATATCACGTTATAAAAAAAGAACATCCTCCATTATGGAGAAAATATTTACAAGGAATATTAATTAATATCCCTTCATCCATAAACACACGCCAGACACACTTCTTCATATCATCAACATTCATGAAACCCATACTTGAAGAATGTAAGATTCAAATATCTGTGGATGATGTAACCTCTTTCACTCTAACACGCCAAATGTTTCTCCAGACACTCAAAAGTCATATATAAAAATAATAATATTTATAATAGAAATAAACCAACACACACTTCAACCACAGAATTTACGACAATAACGTACATATGTCTAACAGTTGGCACACCTACCGACAACGCTATGTCACGCAAAAACAGTGTTGATGCATAACCATACAGGTACGCCCTTCTGATTTTCATACCACTACAATCATCAGGAATTATACCCACGGATACAACCAGACAGACAGAAAAATGCCGACTAATATCTAGAAACAACATGGCTAAATGAAAACAAATACAAAACTCAAGGTATAGGAACAAAATAAAAATGAAATAATAATATAACAGCCAAACATGTTCATTTTATAAACATTTCCAATGTGCCTTTTATTCTATCAATCTTATAAATATTAAAATATGTTTGTTAAATTCTATACTTATATAAAAATATTGTCCTCAAATCTTCCATGAATTTTTTTTCATTTCTTTCACCCAAGCAAGGCACTGGCGCCACTAAGATGCAAGGAGGTACTTGGAGTGAAAGAGAATGAAAAATTCTTTAGAAGAAATGGGAAATCCAATCCTAAACAGGAAACAAGGGATAAACCTCTACTACTGTTCAAAAGACCGCAGGAGTCTGAACGTTGAAACCTTTAAATAAATAGTTTAATGGACATTTACATATAATTTATAAATAATTCAATAGAAATTTAATAAAAAATATATCCTGAAAGGTAATTTATACATTTTTAAACAACTATCGAGAAAATGTATAAATTATCTTTCAGGTTATAGTTTTTATTAAATTTCTAAAAACAGATTTTTCAAACAAAAATTACCGGATGTGGAAGTTTATGGTAATCGAGCGGGAAGGGAAAATCTCCCTTTAACAGACTGTTTTATTTTCTGATCAGAAGTTAAATTTTCCAAGATTTTTTTCCCATTCTATCCTCAATATTTCTGCTTTTCTATTAGTGATTGGTGGGATAACTGTTCTCTTTGAAACTTGATCATTTCTCGTAAATTCAGTCAACATATTAACTGACTTGATTGTTTAAGGGCATATCAACTCCTTATGTGTCATTTAATCCCGAAATTGAATTTCTTTAATTTTGAAGCAAGAAAAATACGTTATATGTTATTCTGCTTTCATAAATGAATACATCATAGATGATTGGTTGGTTGGCTGATTTTTTTTTACCGGCATATCAACCTCTATGCCGAAATCAAAATATTTTGAACACAGTTTTATGGCTTCAACTAAATATATTTTGAACGCAACTATGCTTTTAACTATAGATAAAACGTATTGTTGGTGATTCTATTATAAAATGCATGACTGTCATTCTTTGAAAATCGATTGTTGGTAACTTTACTATAGATATGTATTGTTTCTAATTTTTGCATAAAAATGTATTGTTTGTATCTTTGTTTTAAAAATGTATTTTTATAGTTTCATAATGCTTTGTTTGGGCGTTCCTTATTTACCCATAGGTGGGGTCCTAACAAATGCTATCACTCCGGTTCATGGTTAACATAGGAAGAACCGCCATTAAGAGTTAGTTTCTCAATACCTCCAATCTCCCAATCAGATGTCTTGCTGTCGAATGTAGTTTGTTGACATACCCAGGACTTACTATATATTCATCAGGAGAAAAAAATTCTCGCTTGCCATTAGTCTTTCCTTTACTTGTGACGAAACTGTCAAGTATTTACTGCTTGATTCTCGGTGGGCATCACTTAACAGTATAGCTACTCTTTGTTTCCAGTGTTAAATTTCTTTCACTTGGAGTCATCATCAGTTTCTGAGTTATATCTTTTGCTATTCCTCCACACATTTGGGTGTATGTGGCAAAAGTAAACGTTATAAGAATAAGAAGGATAGATAACGGCCGAACGGCTTGAAGAAGAGCACGAGTCTAATTCTTCGTAAGCTGATCGTCAGATACCTAAAAGAGAGGTCTCGACATTGGTATATCAGGAAATATATGCACTTGGGAGAAAAAAAACAAAAAACTTTCATAACTAACTTAATTTCTCAGCGAGGAGCAGCAAAGATGTCTGACATATTTATCAACTTTAATATAACTCGACCAATATGATTTTCGTAAGTTTTGCTGAGTATGACAAGATGCAAATGGACATCTGGATATATTCATATAAAGCATTTATATTAGCAAATCCAGGGAGATATTAAATCTTAATCTCTTCCGTCGAAATCTTTATTATTTTTCACGACGGCAAGCAGAGCGTCGTTGACCGTTTTAGTTACCCTGACGAAATCCTCTAAACCACTTTTTGAATGTTTTGAAGAACTGGAACACGATGCAAATAAATATTACAAATGTTTGTTTGTTTTGTTTTTTTAAATTTCTTTTTAGTCGCATTTCTGACGCTTTTTTTTCCGAAATTCATAGCGACTAATATGGCGAATGTGCAACTGTGCATTCTCCATCTTTAAGGCATTCATTTTGGACAAAACGCCAACATTCAACAAAATCTGAAACACAAATGAACGATGAAAGTTGTAAATCTAGAACACACTATAAATCGGCACTAATACAAACGCCAATGTCAAATTGCGGTCAGTTACATAATAAATACCAGTTTTCAAGATTGATTCATTTTTTACGGTTTATCAACCCTTTTCAGATTATTTAGATACTAGAAACTATTTTTAGATTGTAAGAATTTTTTTGGAAGGGGAGATAGGATTCAGTGATGCAAATCTTACTAATTAACCCATAACTGGGGGGGGGGAGAAGTGGTGGATTCATATCCTTTCCCAAGGGTATTTGCGCGTAAGTGAATACAATAAATCCCACTAGATTTTGAACTCGGATCTCCGATTAACAATTCCGAGCCGTTATCCATTACACCACACGCACATCAAAGCTTACAATACCTGGTATTCCCAAGCGTTCACCTACTGACTTGGCTCAACGTTATTTAACATCAGTGATCGTACGGGAACCGATAGTTTAAACGTGATATGGCCGTAAGCCGAATTTTTATGATGGGTTAAACAAGTATGAAAATTCAGGTACCTGTGAGATCTAAAATCCGATGAGGTACAAATTACAATAAAAATCCAGTATTAATTTTACAGCTTTCAGAAAGAAAAAAAGTTATGAAGAAGTTTATAAAATCCCGGTATTAATAATAGGTTTAATTATAGCACCTTCATGTCCATTCACCCCCCGCAACTTATATTAGTATTATTATTATTCCTTATGTGACGTGTTCCTTCAAGACGTCGGCGATCATGGCTTTCCTCAATTTCTTTTCCTTCGTAGCTTTTAATAAATCATGTTTTTTGCTTATTTCTTCTAAACCTTGTTCCTCCATCTGTTTACTCAAGCCAACTATGTAAGTAATGTGCTGCTTTCTAATGTCCCTAGTCTAGTGTCCTCCTGTGAGTATCAGATTTTCTAAGCCTTCTTTCCTCATTATAAGCCCTAGAATCTTCAACTGTCTCTTGCTGGCGTTTAAATATAAGTTTCCTTCACTGCGCGCATGTTCAGTCCAAGGTATTCTCAGCATCCTTCTCTAGAACCACATTTCTGTTGCTTGAAGTCTCTACTTCATCTGTAAGGCGATTGTCCTGCATTCAATGTTATATCGGATAACTGATATTGCGTAACAGTTCTGTACTCTTTTCTTTGTTTCTAACGATTTTTTTTCTGTTTCTTGATACTCAGCTTAGAATTTGTAATACGTCTTTGGCTATACGAATGCACTTTCGGATTTCAGTGTCACACTTTAAGTCCTCTGTTAGAAAACCTCCCAGCTTATAGTTGGAGTTCAATGATTATTTTACTTTTGTAAATGTTTTCTTGTTTCTTTCATTTTGAATCAGCCGCTAACACTGCGTAGCGTATGATGCTAGCGTTAAGTCCGCCGAGAATAAATCCTGCAGGGTCCTGTCAATCTATTAGAATCATCTCGCTGTAAGCAAAATAAATCCATTGAGGGAACAAATTGTTGCCGCATTCCTCATTCGTTCTTTCTTGGGTTCTCAGTTTATTCATCTTCTCTTCGCAAACAAACCTTTTGTTTCCAATACAGGTTTTCTAGATTTTAAGACGTTTTCAGCGTTTTACTTTATGGAAAGCCTTTGCATAAATCTTTATTTTTCTGGCATGTCTGTTACTTCTTCTGAGATTTTGACTATTTTAAATAATATTTCTTGCTCTACTGTCCTGTATAAAGATTTATTTTTCTTCCAATTTCCGGTTATCGTAATTCTAGGCGCTCTATTCAATAAAATTCCATTAGTGAAAAGTTCGTTCCATTCGAACAGCTTCTTCCCACACACCGCTGCTTCGTGGAACCGATTTCCTACAAAATACGATCACTGCAGTCTTAATCTGTTTACGTGTAGGGTTAACCGTTATCCTCTCTACGTATCCTCATAAACTGTGCCTCTTGTTGCTCCTACAATAAACTCCTTCAGTATCCATCTACCTCTTGAGGCTTGTATAAATTGAACACTAATAATAAAAATCATAATAGTTTTGTTATATAGCTTATTAAACTAATTATTCTATGAATCTAACTTAATTTTGCACCAGATATCTTTGGCAACATTTGGACCTTTACAGCTAGGACCCATCATGCCTTGTTCATGGTGCCAAACCATCCACATTACTTTCGTGTTCCTTTAATAAAAAAACAAGTTCTGTTCAGACAGCTTTCTTCCTTATAACTATTACTTTGTAGAATAAAATCCTGAGAGAATTCTTTCCTGACAAGTAAATTTTCCCTCTTTAAATCCAGGGTCATCCGATATCTTCCTTACTCGTACACACTTACTCTTACTCCTATCTCGCTTATAAACTCAATCAGTAACACTCTTCCTTGACTGGCCTTTGAGCCTTGTATTATATGAAGTATCAGTGAAAAAAAAAATCAATGTTAGATCATCGGTGTCAAAGAAAAATATACTCCATTCACGAGCCGGTTGATAAATTCCCTTTTTTTTTAAAATTAGATCATCAGATGATGTTAAAAAAAATTAAACCTATTTACCTAGCGAAGTACACACTAGTAAAAGAGATTAAAGGCAGTAGATAATTTTGAAGATTCCAGAATGAAAGAAAATTGTACTTCCTTCGGTTATTTTTATCTAACCCAGCTAGTGTGTGATGGTGGCAGTAGAAGATCAATATCTGTTAGGTGTATACGATTTATATGGTTAAGAAAATTATTGATGTCTTCAATCCAAGGACTTAGTATCTCAGGTATCCCCATTTATCAGTATTCCCCTCATCGGTTCTTCGGAAGAAGAAATTAGCAAGAGTTGGAACATAAATGTGATTGATCTTAGAATGAGCTCTGCCAAAGGAAAAACAAATTGATTAGAAAAAAAAAGTTTTTTTTTTTTCTGCGCAGATTTCTGGTTGGTCAGAGCGATTATGTGTTAGGATCTTCTGTTAGTCAGAAAACTTTTGTTGCTGATACGTAGTCGCGATCCTATTTAGGGGAGTGTTCCATTAAAAATAATACCTAAATTTTATTTTAAACATATATGTAAAAGAATATATCGATCGGCAAAACGAAAAACACGTAGATTTTTACTGGGTTGGAATATAAAGTTCCCACACAAAATTTATTAGCAATAATATAGAAAGTTTTGCGGGGACATTGTTTTCAAGCTAATGTCAATAAGCTGAATTCGAGTAAAGCTTATAAGTAATCTCTTATTTACAATTGGGCTAATGTTCTAATCTTAGTTGTTATGATAAAGATTTTAGCCTTTATGTTCGTTGATCCGGGTATTCTTCGGGGAATTTTGAATTTGTCCCTTTATTATCTGTCTATATTTCTGAGATGATATATTATGTACATTATTTACAATATTCGGACTATTGTCCTCATCTTTGTCGCCATATTTATTACAATACCTTACAGGTGGTTGGAATGTCGAACTGAACCTTTTATTTCGCTCACTGGTGTCAGTTTCACGCACCATGTTTTAAATGGATGTCAGTTATCAGTCATCTCCTGTTAATTTCCCTCTGAAAGTTCTCCACATTATTGAACTCACATTCTTTGGGTCCTGTTATTGGATCTAACTGACGCCTTTATCCACTGTGCCTTGTGTCCTTGAGGACATCTGTGTATGAATTTCTGGGTATTATAAACCTAATGTCTCCGCAAACGTTTTTCATCAGTGCTCATATTGCAATTTTTGCTATTATTATTTCATGTTTTTACCAGAACTCATATTGTTCCTTTATGTCTATTTCGCTGTTTATAAAAATCTCGAACATTTTTTCTCTTATTTTTTTTTTTTTTTTTTTAATACTGTTCAGTTATTGCAAGTCATGTTTCCCACAGGTCTGAGTCTATACAAGCCGACTCAGGTAGGACCGATTTGTTTCTTACGGTCATCCATCTAATCGATTCGGGGACTGAAATCACAATTATTATGCCACCTGACGTACGAACATTAATATTTAATTAAGGCTAAGTTTAAGAACAGGTTGGGATATCCCTAGACATGGACAACGGACCGAGAAAAATCTAACTCTGTAGATTAAAAAAAGACTTAAATTCGAAATTCCTTGATCTATAGACGCCTGAAAAAGGTCGGAGGGCCCAAAAGCCGAAGCGTTGTGATGGCATAAAAATGAGAGCATCAGTCTCACTGTAAATACTAACTCTTCATTCCAGAAGCTCAAATAGAAACAGTATCTTATTTTATTTGGCTTTGAACAATAACTTGTCAATGTGAGACCAGGATGAGTGCTGTATAAAGTATTGCTTGTTTTGTTTTTTTTAATAGTTCTCTTCTTGCTTTCGGTCGCTACTTAATCCGATGTTTCTTTGCTTTCATTTGCATCACAGTAAAACATTGTAGTAATTATATAGCAGCGAACTGTGTCGGCTTCTGTAATTCACGGGGAAACTTTATGTTCTGGTCTGTTTTTAGTATTCATATTATATCCTACATATTTCTTGCGATATTTTCTTTTGAATATTTTCCCGACTTTTCCTCTTTTTCGTAAACATTTTCCCGCCTTTTCTTTTTTAAAACCTTTTCCCGTTTTTTCTTCTTTCTTACTCTTTTTAATCCTTTCCCGTCCTTTCTTACCCAATTTTTTTAAACCTTTTCCCGCCTTTTCTTCTTTTTTACGTTTTTTTTTAACATATCCCGCCTTTTCTTCTTTAACCATTTTCCCGCTTTTTACTTGTTTTCCTTCATTTTTCCTTTTAACATATTTTTTCTACTTTCCTTTCTCTTGAATTCCTCTTTACGTTAATATCTTGCGTATTTTTCATCATGTTGTTTTCTCCGATACACTTGTTCTCTTGGTGCTTCGTTTCTCTGCTTCGATTATGTACATCATCAGTTACTTTGTCTTTTTTTCTTCAGTTCTTATTCCAAACGTAGCAGTAGTTTTAATAATTGTTCTTATCCACTTCCTCTTACATTTTCCGCCAATCTATCAGTTAACATGCATGAATGTTTTACTACTGCAGTCTTATATAAATACCATAATTCAGTTACAGCGTATGCCGGAGGTGACGTGATTTAATAGGACCAAACCTGAAATGCGAGCGTCACGATACACACATTAACGCTCACAACCGCATGCATATCAATAGAGCGTCAGAGACACACACTGCATTTAAACAACCTTACAATGCAGCTGCAGACAGGTCGATTCATTTCCACCTGCCTTGTGGATATCAACCGGCATGCACAATATATGATAACCACTACACAACCCACGTCCGACAAAAAAAAAAAAAAAAAAAAACGAAATCTGCGTACTAATTTTATGGTTTCCTTGTATTCTGAATATATTTTTGCTGAATGTCTCCCAATAAAAGGCTTGAGAGCCACTCAAAATGATACAGTATGTGATCAGAATTAACGAGAAGACATTAGGAAGTGAAGATTGTGAAAAAGCGGATGAACGACAATGAAATAACGGGCCTAATTCTTCATGTGCCGATCGTCAGATATCTCAAAAGAAAGGTCTCGTCACTG